TTAGGGACACTATCCTGATCAGAAAAGTTATAGGTTAAAGAAAAAAAAATGCATCTGTAAAACTAATGGAATGGGAAGCGTGTGGCCTGAGTGTTTAAGAGGAACCACTGGGATGGTGGTGTAGTGGGCGGGTCCAGGGGGACCCACTTAAATGATCCTGCCCAGAGTGGCAGGAAACTCCACCATTCCCTGAGGGACCTGGTTTTAGTCACCCATCATCAGTGAATAGGCCAGAACTGGATCCTGGAGGGGCTAGAACTGTGAAGGTCAGAGGAGCTCTGTGGCTGAGAAATGGGCAGGAAGGGAACTGCCATGTTTTCCACAGCTGCTCACAAGGGTGCCTTGTCTCAAAGCCTGATGTTCTGTCTCCTACCTAATCAATTGATCTCTTTGAATTATTATTAGGCTTATTGCATTTTTTATTTCTTGTCATTTCAGTTTGGTTTTTGTTTATGTATGTTTAACCAATGAATTCATTTTTCATATCCTACAGTGTCCTTATTTTCTACAATCATTTCCTTGCCAATGAATCATTTTGTTCCTTTCCTCTTTGAGTTGATTCCCATGCTTTATATGCTTTTACCTCCTTGAGCATGCTCATCTTTTCGAGTTCTGTGTCATGGATATCGTTTAAATTGCTCTCCTTGGGGGTTACAGATATTGTTTATGATTTGAGCCAAATGTTTTTTTTTTTTTTTTATCTTAGTTTTAATTTGTGTTGGGAATGGGACTTGAGCATCAGAATTTAGAATGTTTGTTGTCTTTTGCTGTGCGTTTTTAACCCAGGAGGCTGTTTTCCCAAGATGAGAAATTAAGCAGGATAACTTGTATCTGAAGGGTTCAGAACTCACTGCTGGGGTCAGACACCAGGGTGCAGCGTCCTCCTAGATGCAGGTCTGGTCCAGGCTGGCAGCGAGCATGTGGGGAGGCTGTGCAGAGCGGGTACAGGGCAGCCTGACAGCTGGAGCTGTGTGGAAGGCAGCCTGAGACCGAGTGGGAGGGACCGGGCACAATGAGGTAGGGACAGAACATGGTGAGATGGTTTAAGGAAAGAGTCTGTGGGGGCGCAGGAGAATTGTTCAAGTAATTAAGAAAAAGAGATCGTGGCAGGCAGGTTTAAAGAAAATGCGTAACCGGAACCCAGGATGTATTGGGCGGGGCCAGGAGGAGAAGGTCCATGGAACCAGCCTGAAGCTACAGGAAATTCCACCATTTTGTATTGGACTCCGGGAGCCCAGTGGTCAGTACCTGGGTGAGGAACACAGCTGGGTATTTGGGGACCTGAAAACTTCCCTGAGGCGACCCTGAGCTGCAGGCGCTGCCCAGGGTTGGGACCTGAAATCTCCCCGGAGCCGCAGTCCCCGCGCGGGGCGGCCTGGGAAAGTCACCAGTCAGCAGCGCAGTGGCGGGAACCGCAGCCCGGCGGCCCTGGAACCTCCCAGGTCAGAGGAGCTGCGGGGCTGGGACACGGGAGGGGAGGGACCGGGGTGTGCGCGCGGAGGCTGCTCAGAAGGACGCTCAGCTCCCGCCGCCCGTGATGGAGTCGGTGGCAGGGGAAGTGGTAGTTTACGTCGCCTGCAGCCAGGCTCAGACATTTCCACTCACTACAAGCTGGGTGCTTCCCTATGGGCCACTCGCACCCTTCAAAAGTGTTTGTCACAGTTCTCTCGCCTTCTCGTCCTTGCTCTCTTACTTGTTCTCTGTCTGTATGTCTGCCTCTGTCATGTCCGCACTCCGAGACGGCCTTTGGCTCTTCTGCTCATCCTCTTTCCCCAATAAACCTCCCGCCCTAGACCTGTTGCACATGGCATGTTCTCTTCCTGACCACCATGGCCGTCCTCCAGAGGTACGCCGTTTTCTATGGCTTTATCCTTACAGACACAGCTTTCCAAATTCTGTTGATATCTTTGTGTTGTCGGTAAGTTTGATATCTTAAGATTTTATCATGATTATTTTCACTTATCTGACGGTTACCAGACTGTCATAAAATAATTCTTAAAATAACGTAGTAGAGTATGTTCATTTTGTATTGTTTGCTAACAGGGTTCTTTCTGCTATGGTGGCTGTTCCAAAGCTCCTAGAATTTAAATTCATCCATGCTTTCAACTCCCGTTTTACCATTTGCCTCTTCAAGAGAGAGTGGCCTTTGTCCCTGAGACTAGACATTCTCAGAGAGCAGATAATAATTACACGAGGAACCAGTGCAAATATAATTAAAAAGAAAATATATTTTATAGAGTCTCACAATATGATTGTAGACATTATGCAAACCTTTTACTCCCCATTAGTTTTTCATCTGAGATATATGCAGTCTGGGATGTAAATACAGCATTCAGAAATGTGTCTTTATATGCTGTGTTCTTATGTCACATCTCCGTTCCAGGCAATCCAAAATAAATAGTGTGAGAGTCTATCAGGCTACAGTATTTTATAGTTAGCACAGTCATTAAAAATTGAATCAAAATTTTAGAAAGCCTCATTCGAATAATTGTAATCCCTCACCTGTATCAGGAAAATGTCTCCTTGATTGAAGAAGAGCATTCTACTCATGCACACATGGCTAAACTGTCCTTTCTTATTTCAGGGTTTGTTGACATTCAGTGCTGTGACTGTGGACTTCTTGTAGGAGGAATGGGAATGCTTCAGCCTTGCTGATGGGGCTTTCTGCAGAGATCTGTTGGAGAA